CAAATTTTCTCACAACAGTGTCTGACATCGAAATTTATACAAAATCGCCACTGTGATCCCCAAAACCTAGTTATCGTGGTCTTCAAGATATTTTTAGTATTTTAGGGGGAGGTAACTATCATCTTCTTTTTAGCCTACCCCGACTTCCTGTTTCCGCTTTCGTTTTCTGAACCGGTTACTTTGTTTACACTGGGAAGCAAAATGGCTTCATATGGAAGAAAGATGTTGGAAGCAGCTTTGTCGAAGAATGCTCAACCAGAGTCAAGCAGGCCTTACTCCACTCGCTCTGTGAGACCTCCTACTGCTAAAGGTTAGTAGATAATAAATGCTGTTGTCCTAAGTCAAGTGACCGATTAGTGATTAGCCTAATCACTGACCACATCTAGACCTAGAATCTAGATCTAGATCTAGATCTAGATTCTAGATCTAGACTAGATTCTAGATCTAGAAGTAGAATCAGAATCTAGATCTAGATTATAGATCTAAATCTAGATCTAGATCTAGTGTTGTGACTGAAGAATGTCACTCACCGATGATTATAAAATCGATTGTCCTCATTATGACACCATGGTGACAATAATAATGAATCAGAACTAGAATCTAGATCTAGATCTAGATCTAGATCTAATACTCAAGATCCTCTTTTCAGCCTTGATAAGTGTAAGCCTTCTATTTGAACCTAGATCTAGATTCTAGATCTAGATCTAGATCTAGATATCTAAAATCTAGCTAATCAGCTAATGATTAGTAGATCTAGATCTAGATCTAGACTAGAGTCAAGAGTCTAGATATCTAATCTAGTCTCTAGATCTAGATTTAGAGACAATAGATTATAGAGATTCATCTAGAATCTAGACTCTAGATCTAAATCTAGTCTGATAGACTCTACTTCTAAATTCTACTAAGTCTAGATAACTAAAGTCTCTGTCCCCCTAACCATTGCTGGCCTGAGATTTCCCCACGGCCATCTGCCTTTTGAAAAAGTAAATCTAATGTTGGGTAATCTCAGGGCTGTCATTGTGACGTCCATTGAAAGCAGGGACCAAAACGGTAAATCTAGATCTAGTAGTAAAAGAGTGTCGAAAAAGTGTGCTGTAAGATGTAGGACTGATACGTTTCTCAAAAATATCTAGATCTACAATGTTTTTATGAGAAGCAGGTTTCTGACTCCAGAGTTCATGTGATAGATCTAGATTATATATATAGGCTTTTTAATGAAGAAATGTTGATACATTTTTCCAATAATTTCACGAGGAAGAGACAAAGCAAATACACCATTATCCCATCTAAAGAAGCCTTTTCACTTATTCCAAAGTTTTCTCAGTTCCCATGGGATTTGGATTGAGCGGCGACGACTGTATATATTATATGTCATTTTGGCTAGACTAGAACCAATCCAAATCCAAACTCTTACCTAGATAATCGGACAGAGCGATTAACCATAAAAGTTCAGCCAGTGTGATGAACCCGCCCTATAATACATCCCATCCGCATGATAAGCCCCTAAATAGTTGACCTCTATGTTAAAAAAAAAAAAAACTTGGTGTGAATATTACAGCCTCAGTCGGTCTGAACTTTCAACCCTAATTACTTGAAAGAAGGCTGTTTGACATAGTAGGCCTACCTATACATGCTTTTAAAGGTAAGCCTTAATCTTTACAATTTAATGTTTATTATTCAGCTTTTTAAAAATTGCAGTTCTAAGATAAACAAGATTCTTAGGTAGAGACCACTGCTAAATATCATCGGTAAATTGTAATTTTTCCCCCTCTATTCATGTCAACATTTCAGTTGATTGTCAGGATAAGGTAAAAGAGTGGCTACATTTATCATCCTGTTGTCCAGAAGAGGGAGTTCTGGAAGAGATGGACTGTGGGTCCTCAAGCCATTCTGAGTATGAGGTATGTGTACTTTCTTTTTTTAAATATTGAAATATCCTTCTTTTACATGAAAGGTGAGAACAATGAAAAGATGTTTGATTATATTTGATCATTCTTGAATTATTTTAATTTGTTTTGG